AAACTCCTCAAGATCTGCTGTCAACATAAAACCTGCAGCGAGGGAAAACGGTTTCCTCTTACACAAAACAGCCAATCGTAGTAGAGCCCTTCCAGCCAATCAGAGGTGAGAAAGGCGGACCCTTCCTTGGACATCCTAGAATTCCAAACGACGCCTCCTGGACGCTAAACCAACAACAGCCTTCCCCGTCGTGAGTCCAGATGGGTGAGTCCATGAATGTTAGTGACAATGTGACGTAGATCTGTCAGGATTTTTTAATCCTAGAGTTTCACCGTCTAGAAGCTACTGCAGGAGATAGGTGTAGGAGACTATCTTCACGTTCAGCCTGCAGGAAACGCTCAGGGTGACCTGCTAGAAGCTAACGACGCTTTCTTAGTGAACTTGGTCTTTAACTCCTGTTTATAATTTAGTTAAGTTGTTGTTTTTGCTGAGGTTTGGGTTCTCTTCCCAAAGAGGAAACAAACAGAACACATCAGTACCAAGCAGGTGAGTGTTATGTTGTCTGGGGGCGGGGCTACAGGAAGTAAATGATAAATGACCTGCACTTGTATAGCGCCTCTCAGAGTAAGGACTCCAAAGCGCTTTACACTACAGTGTATCATTCATCCATTCACACACACATTCACACACTGGTGGTGATGAGCTACGATGTAGCCACAGCTGCCCTGGGGTGAACTGACAGTGGCGAGGCTGCCGAGCACTACTGCCACCGGTCCCTCCGACCACCACCAGCAGGCAACGTGGGTTAAGTGTCTTGCCCAAGGGCACAACAGCAGAATTCTCTGTCCGGAGCCGGGATCGAACCTGCAACCTTCCGATTACTGGACAACCCGCTCTACCTGTTGAGCTACTGCTGCCCATGCTGAAGTGGGTTGTGTGTTCTGATTGCTGGGCCAGGTAACACGCTCTAACCCCGCCTCTCTGAGCCGTTCAACAACATTTAAACTCTTCAGAGCTTTAAATATGGTCGTCAGCCCAAATCTGATGCTGACTGCAGCTGTGGCGGCCATCTTTAATCAGGTCATCAGTGTAGACATCCATTTAATGATCACTTTCAGAAAGTTTTATTCAAATCCATCCAGTCGAGGAGACAAACGGCACATTGATGACATCATACTGTTACAGTTGGTTAATTAAAAAAAAGCTGAATTTAATTAAGAAGCCGTCCAATCATAACGGACTTCTGACATAATTTCCTGCAGGGTTGAGGTTAAGATGATGATGTTTAATAGCCATAATTAACTGTAATGTCATCTAGTAAAATGTTTATTAGTGCATAAGGCGACATGACAGATAACGGTCATAAATCCGGCTCTTCGACCTTTTAAAGATTCCATTAAGAGCCGAGCCGGCGTCGGCGTCATTACACTGATCAAACCGATCAAAGTCTCTAATTCGCCCTTCAGAAGACGAGCTTACAGAAATCGCTTGGATCAGGAAGCGACCGGCCTGCAACAAGACCTCCTTTCCTCCCTAATCCAATTACTATCTCCACACGTTGTGATGTACTGGTTTAACAGGGAAAAGGGAGCCGGGAGTCTGGGATTTAGCAAAGATTAAAACCACATTCAGCTCAGCGGGAATCAGAGGGTCGGTTCAGCCTCATCCCGAGCTTCTGACGGTTTCCACACGTTTAAACGTTCCTTTAGTGAATTATCTAAAGGCTTAAAGGGAGGAGACAAAACAAAGGGAGGCACAGCGAGCAGGTGAAGCCACGGGGCTGCAACTCTTTTCTTCTGGGGGCTGAAGGCCATTAGCTGATGCTATTACACAAAGTGACTTTCCATCTGAGTCGGGAGTCGACGTGAAACGGGAGGAAAGTGCCGGGCCTGACAGCGACCATTGTTGATGGCAGCACTAGCTGTGATTGGACTCGGCTTCCTTTAATCCCACAAACTAAAAGTGGTTTTGTTTCCTGTGCTGCAGAAATAAGAGTCAGCGAGGTCGTCGGGCGTCGAGTGGAACGGTTTTCAGGAATGAAAACTGAAAAAAGAAAATCCTTCATGTCTCAGACAACCTGGAGGAGGCTCCCACCTGTCGATCTCAGACTAGGAGGGGCTGACGCTGATCCTGGCCGATGGCGGCGGAGGCTGGAAGATGCTAGCGGAGCCTCATGTTCAGCAGAAACAGAAGCTTTATTTTACTTCCTGGGTTTTTTAGTGTTTGTTCTAAAACAACAAAAACAAATAGAAGAGCCTGTTTATTTAGCACAAACCACAAAAGCATCCGAGGCTGAAAACACAAACATCAGTCGGATCCCGTCGGCATCGGCCCTTTAAGCAACCCGAGTTTCAGATCCTTCTGAGCTGAATGACGGCTCTGATGACACGTCCTACTCAGAACACGGTGCATCATTTAGCAGTTTTAATGAAAGTCGCTACCGTATGCACTCAATCTAACGGGCTCTTGTAAAAACGTGATCATTAACATACAAAAACGATCCCACTTGTGTGCATCAACGTGAAATTTGCCAAAGGAACAAACCGAATCCCATCAAATCTGCACGACTGAAGGAAGGCTGCAGCTTTCCTTCGCCTTCAATCACAGCCTAAAGCTAAACATAAAGGTTTTTCTGTCTTTCTGGTTCTTAAGTCGTTCATTTGCACCAAAAACACCCGAATGTGCAAAATCACAACTTCATTTTTATGAATTATTCACAAGGGATTCATGCAAAGCAGTAAAATGTCACTGATCTTCTAATTAAAGTTGCCATCGTCCAACAAATCCAGTATCCTGGTTTCATCTGTGTGCTTTACTTTGTAGGGGGAACTCTTTAAATGTGTTTTTCAGAATAAAAGTTAGACAACGATCTCTCATTAATGGAAAATTATGCCGTTTTTGCTTGCTTTTAGCACCCCCTGGTGTCTGTTTTAACTCGCATCATAAAACCGCTGCTGGTTAGTTTTTTAACACCTTAATCTAACAGCTGAAACATCTCCCAACCTTCATTAGTGTCTACAGAAGCGGTTCCTCAGTAAATCAAGCAAATCAGTTGAGTTGATCATCTAAAACATGCAGGAAATGTGCTGGAAGCAGGCTGCAGCACCAGGTATGTCTGCCCACCTTACTAAGTACAACAGGGACTGGACCGGCACTCTGAAGTTGCAAGTGCAGTATTCACAGGTGGTGGTGGGGTCTGAGTGACCTTTCATTAACCTGTAAAGGGTCATTTTAGCACAAACTGGCTCAAGAAAATTATCCTAAACTATGAAAAAGTAGCAAAGTTTCTAAATAATCAGAACTTTTTACACAATCACACGATAGGTTTGTATTCTGTTGTCGACACATTTTAGCTCAGCACCTATGAAACAGAGTGGTTGTCGTCTTTGTGTTTTCTAAATTCAACATTAACTATGGCGGCCATCTTGAATTGGGTCAAGGTCAACTTTATTTATATAGCACAGTCACACAGGCAACCCCAAAGTGCTGAACCAGGGTGAAAATAAATAAAAAATAAACACAATCACTAACAAATTGCAGTTAAAAGTTGTAGAAATGTATTTCCTGCTAATGGAGTAGAAGATAAAAACACGAGTCAAATAAAAGCAGAGGTCAACTACATTAAAGCCAAATCAAACATGTTTAAGTAACGCTCTAAAACTCTGTGTGGTTCTGTTCCACGGCCCAGCGCCAGCCGGAGAACGCCCTCCCGAGTTTATAAACGTGTTTTTGGAACAACTAAAAAAGACTAAAAGCTAGGTCTGGTGTGTCGGACGGGAGTGTAGCTGGACAGTAACTCGCTGACGTGTGGTGGAGCCACGCCATGATGAGATTTAACAGCGAAGAGGAAGACTTTAACACGAATCCTGTAGGGCACAGGGACCCAGTGAAGATATTCCAACACCGGGGTTATCTGGTGGCAGGTATCAAGCGAGCTGCTGCATTCTGAACCAGCTGGAGTTAAGGATGACTGATGCAGGCCCAAGTGCACAAACGACAGGAAACAGATGGGTGACATGCTCTAAAACGTCAGCAGGAGGGTAACGGTTAACCTTTGCTAACAGTCTCAGATGACAGAAACCGGACTGGAGCTCGCCCGTCTCTTCAGCCCGACAGAACCAGCAAGAAGATCTCCAAGAGTTTTCACGCAGGACCTTACCAAGAACGAGCCAGGGCCGAGAGGACCGACCACCTCATCCAGAAGATTCTGATCACCAACGAGTAAAATCTCCGTCTTTGAGTCATTTAGCTTCAAGAAGTTGACGGACATCATTGCTTAACCTCGCTCAAGCGGTAAAGAATCGATTCTGAGAGACAATCAGAGGTCCAGTTGCAAATCTAAGAGATTTTGATTCAAATCCATCCGGTCGGATGTTTTTCTGACAGATGAACATTTGGATTTTGACGGGTTTCTCTTTCGAGGCGTGACCTCCAGAGTCCTCCCTTCAGAAACTCGACTCCTGAGTAAAACCTGAGCAGAGCACAGCTTTCCCCCTCGGCGTCTGTGTGACGGCGAGGCCAGGTGGCAGTTCCTTACATCAGACCCTGCAGCACGAACGGGTCGGCGCTGAGCGGGACCGGACCAGAACACTGTACCAACAGGAGGTCTTCTAGTCACACACACTACTTCCTGTTTCCATTCCAACATCACGGCGACACGTCGGAGACGTTTCCGAGACACGAGAAGAAGCCTCGGAGGTAAATAAACTAAACCAGACGTGTTTCTGAAAGCAGCCGCCCAACAACATCCATCAGATTCAGCTCTAGTTTCATGTAAGAAGTTTTTCCATCAGCTTCGTGTCAAACGGCGAGTTTGTTGTTCGGTTCTGTTTTACAGATAAAACCGCTGAGGAGCAGCAGCAGAACGGCTCACCAGGAAGAAATCAGAACAACACACTCATAATAAGTCCTGATTACTTTCCTCTAACAGAATCCATAATTCCAGGGTAGGATCCCGGATCCTGATAGCTCATCCCTACGGAGCCCTCGCAGCCAGACGGGAGTGTCCCACAGAAGTGCCCCCTCCCTGCAGCAACAGACCCTTTTGTTCTGGTTCTTAC